ACAGCAGTGATTCCCAATCCTAAGAATATAAAGATCCCTTTAACATAAAGAAATTTGGGGACCCTTTGAATTAAATAAACTCTTATGTTAGCTAAAGAAGCATATAACAGTTTCTATGGATTCAGACGTGATTAAATACTTTTTCATTCATCACCATTAGCATGTAAAAAAAAGGGGGGGATTATGTATGGGGAAAATTGCTTGTTTTAAAACTGAGCAGGGTTAGCCCATGAGGTATCATGACCCTTGCAGCAGTATCTGTCACACCTCTTTACCTGTATATCAGAAGTCTGCTGCCTGAGGTTGGGAATCACAGTATTATGCCATAGAGTCTGCCCACTCAAGGTTCAAATACGCCCAGTGGTTAACACAGCCAAGTAGAGATAAATGCAAAGTCTTACAGATGTTTTTTAATGTTAAAATTTAGCCTTAAAACCCTATTCCGATTGAGATGGTTACACATAAATCAGTGTGTGTTAAAATTCATGAAACTGTCCGGCCCGGTGGCGCAGTGGATAAGTGCGCCTAAATCAAAAGGAAAAAGTCATATTTTATGGTATGACATTTCACTTTTAAAAAATTAAATTCTAAAAGGTTTTTGGTCACTGAAAGTTTTATTTGGATTCACAGTAGTTCCGGCTGCCTGCTCCCAAAGCTAACGCATAAATGGAAGTAATGTTCAAAGTCAGTGTTATCATGACTATCCTGTTGACTGACTGTCAGCCTACATCTGGAATCCTGTGCTCAGTTGTGAGAGTCATGTCTATATGAGGGCCTCTGGCGAACTAGAGAAACGCTAGAATTGTGAGAAATTTGGAAGGTGTTACATCAGCAGGTGAAGGATCTGGAGGAAAGAAGACCTCAACGCATTCTGAGGTTTTTGAATGATTGTGGTCAAGGGCAGCAACAGGAATAAGTCAGTTGGAAGAGAAGCATTTTATAAGGGAGAATGCAGTACAATTGGCTGTCCCACAATGAAAGGAAGTAAGAGGCTTCCAGTCCTCGAACAGGTCTCGATGTCTATTTGCCCTGGCATTGTCATGAAAATTCCTGGATAGGGAGCGGTAGATAAGGTGTCCTTCGAATCTTACTATTCCACCATAGGAGGATCTTCTTTTAAGCTTAAATCCTCTTTATGTGCTGCTTACCCTCTAGAGTCTAAGACTGATGATGATGATGTTCTTAAAGTCAAATAAACTTCCTAATTTTTGGATTTTGGAAGAGTTGATAAGAGACATGAAGTTTTGTTATTAAATTTCAGGAAGCCTCATAACGTGATGCAGTTCTCCACTTAAGACTGCCAGATGTCATTCCAAACAGTGGGTTTCATCATCCCTGTCCATGTGGTCGTGAAAACAGTGCAGTAGTGCATTTAAGATAGTTTTTATCATACGAATATCTTTTGAATGCCTCATTGTACATACACCACGTTGGGTGCTGTGGGAAATCAGAGGGGCTTTTTGTTTAATTTTTAAAAATAAGACATGGTTTCTGCACTCAAGCAACTTAAAGTAATTTAGAAGACATGTAACTGTCTGTAGGCAACTGTAACACAGGACAGTGAGGAACTGACTGTTAACTGGCAGCCTTAAGTTACTAAATAACCATGTTATGAAAAGCCAGTTCACAAGTTACATGCAGCATATTTACACCAGTCCCATTCCATGTTTTGAGGAGATGTTTCACGGTTCCACTTGGAGTCTTGAGAAGAAGACAACCGTACCCTAGTTTTATGGTTTAAATATTACCGTGATCTCTTTACTTGGTTTAGAATTAAATGACCACACTTTAGGGAAAAAAAATTTCATATTAAATGAAACTTAAATTTTTAAATGATTTTTTTCTATAAAAGCATTACATCCTTACACATAATTTGTTTTTGGTTCTTTTGGACATAATTTGGAAAATGAAAAAAGCAGTGAAAAAGATTCCCTCATCAATCCCCCTACCCCAGAACACTCATTGTTATTTAAAATTTAATGAATTTTATTCATATTTTTAACATGGACCTTGTTTCTTTTTTTTGCTGCTGTAATTATATTGAATATACAGGCTCCCCCCCCCCAATTTTTATTTACATTCTAACAGGTAGTCTACAATGTGTTTGGAAACTAGGATTCTAAGTGATAGTGTAATATTCTGTATAGTAGAGGCATCACAGTTTTTTCCCTCCTTTTTTTTTTTTTTTTTTTACCATCTTTAAATGGACATTTATATGTGCAGGATTTTTTGTTATTTAGCATTATTTTAATGGGATGATTTCTAGAAAGAGTTACCAAGTGAAGGGCAAGGAGCAGGCAGGGGGCTTGAGAAAACCAGATGGAATAGGAGTCAGCTGAGAGGAATTGTGAATGATCACTACAAAGACCAGACAGATGAGAGAACCAAGGTACTCTGGGTAGTGAGTTCAGCATGTTCAGGACTTGGTGTAGCATAAAATAGGAGATGGGAGAGGTATTCTGAGAAGGTAGGAAGGTAGGTGATGACCCCGTTTAAACAATAATCTGTATTGTATTTCACCATTAAGGTGCAGGTTTTAGGTTAGAACTATTTCTTTTAAAACACAAAAGACCTTGTCTATTCCTGTTGCTTTGGAAGCTTTTAAAAGTAAGGAATGGTGTCCAGCTCTAAGTTGGTCTTTCGTTGGTCTGTTGTTGAATTCTGTTAAACTTGGAGTTAGTATTTATCGGTAGAGAGTTTTTCTTTTCTTGTGTCTGGTAAACCAGGTTTTGATGCCATGGTTATATCTGCTTTGGAATCATTTATGGGAATTCTTTGTTGCATAAATATTTGGAAGAAATCATCTGCAGTTCTTCTGCTTTTGTAATTAAAACTTGTCTCTTAAATATATTTCCTTCCTTAGACTTCTCTGAATCTCAAATTGCCACTTAATATGATATCAAGAAATAATTTGGAAGCGTCTACTTGTAAAATGACGGAGATGTTTAGTTTTGAGAAAAATGAAAGTAAGCTTCTGGCACATGATTCTTTAAGAAGTCTTGGAGCGCATCCTAACCATCCTAATTTCAGGTTGAAAAGCCCAGAGAATGGAAATAAGAAGAAAAATTTTTTGCTTTGTGAGCAAACCAAACAGTATTTGGCTAGTCAGGAAGACAGTTCAAATCCTAATGGCATCAATGGAGAAGTGGTTGGATCCAGAGGAGAAAGTAAGATATTGCCAACAGGTAAGTGAAAGCTACAGGCTTACTACTTGGTTTCTGTGACTTATCACAAATATATGTAACTACACACCAGTGTGCTATTAACAAAACAGCCATATGATTACTTCACAATATTTGCATTTAATTATCAGTTTAGAAGGAAAGACTGCATACCAAATAGCTACCTTCGGCTTGGTTAATCACAGAAAGGATTCTTGGGGAGAGAATATCTGCAGACAAGCGCTTTTTTCCCACAATTCAAGAACTGTATACTAGGAATATAGAAAGGAAACACTCTTGCATTTTTTTACTGGATGTTTTAAAGATTGGCCATGTTTTTAAAATACCATGAGAATTTTATTCATATAATAGCTCTCAAAGATGCATCTAAGGTATTAACCGGTTTCATGTGATTTGTTTTATCATTCCTTTAATCCCAGTTCTAGGGCCTGGTGGAATTTATCCTCTTTGAATGTATATGAGATGTGATCTTTTAACACTATGGTGATGTAATTCTCAGAATGTAGCCCTTGGGCCTCTGGAGTTTCCCCAAGAGGTCAAAACTATTTTCCTAGTAACATTAAAACATTATTTTCCTTTTTTGCTGTGCTGGCTTTGCACTGATGTTGCAGAGGCAAGGATGAGTGAACTGCTTATGCCTTATTAGCTCAACTTAAGGCAGGGGCACTAACCTGGGTTGTTGGTCACCGAGGTTTTCATTGTCATGCTCTTGCAGTTAAACAAAAACCAGAAATACCAATTTCACTTAAAAATGTCTTTGATGGAGCAGTAAAAATTAATTTTATTAAATCTTGACCTTTGTGTACAGGTATTTTTAGTATTTTGTGTAATGAAATGGGATTTACTCCTAACTTCTGTTGCATACTGAAGTTTGAAAAAGCAGGTGCGGGATAGTTTTGAGTTGTGAGCTGAATGGAAATTTTTTTCGTGGAGCATCCTTTTTACTTGAAGAAAATGACAAACTATGGTTATTCAGACTTAGATATTTGGCAAATATTTTCTCAAAAATTAGCAACCTGAGCCTGTCACTTCAAGGAAAACTACTGATAGTATTTTGTTGCTAATGTTAAAATGTGAGCTTTCAAGCAAATTAGGATTTCGGGAAACTTGTGTCTGCTACTATAAGCTTAAGAGCTTCACAGTACTTAAAGACTTTTCTGGTGAGATGCATGGTGGTATGGACACATGAATTTTCAGTATGGTGTAATGAAATGTATCACCTTTTGGCAACCCTGCATAACTCAATGAACCAGTGTTTTCCAAATGACCAACGCATGATGTTGCATAGTTATCCATGGGTAAAAATCCATTCAAAGTGCAGGATACATCAACGGATGCTAATATAACTATATGAAAAGTTCATTGCTGTGGTTTGAGAGTCCACACTGTAACTAACCCTTAAACTACCACTTGACTTCTGGTGTGATATTAAAGGAAAATATCCACAGTTATCTGAGAAGGCCATTAAATACTCCTCCTTTTTGCAGTTACCTATCTGTCCGAGGCGAAATTTTCTTCAGATACTTCAATCAAAGCAACATGTCACAACAGATTGAATGCAAAAGCATATATGTGAATTAAACTGTCTTCTGTTAAGCCAAACATTAAAGAGATGTGAGAAGATTAAAATCTTCTATTTTTTTCTTTTTGAAAAATATAGTTTTTTTAAAAAAATTATTTGAACATGTAAATACATTTATTTGTAAATAAATAGTTTTAAATTTACTTTTAACCTTAACTATAGTAAATATTGATGGACATAAGCCATGTAACCAAAAGTGCTTTAGGGCCCTCAATAATTTTTAAGAGAGTAAAGGGGTTCTGAGTCCAAAAGTTTGAGAACAACTGCCTTGGTGGATGGAAGAAAGTTTACAATGAGAGGAGCAATAGTCAAAGAAATTTCAGACAAGTTCTTATTTTCCATTAGGAAAAGTAGGATGTTGCTTATTTATTGTATAGCTATAAGGCTATTATGTGATGTAGCCCTATTATTTGAACATCACCTAATCATGCTATTTTACATTATCAGAAATAAAAAGTAATATCTGACTTTTATTAGGGATTATGTTTTTTTTTCTCCCCAGGAAACTCAGTGTCTGCATTAAATGTTGGCAATAATTCACCACCCCAAAAAGTAAATACTGTAAGTTTTTTTTTTTTTTTTTTTTCAATTTTGTGTTTTTGTTTGGGTAAAAGATGCTAAATGTATTTTTGTATTGCGGTAATAAAGAAGTATTCAGTTTGTAGGTATCATTCAAAGTTAAACTTCTCTCTTTCTTCAACCTAATACCTTTAAAAAAAGCAAAAACCTTTTTAGGTGATTGTAGATGCACATGAAGTTGCAAGAAATAATAGAGGTCCTGTGTAGCCTTTACCTTGATTCCCTCAATGATAACATGCTCCATAACTATAGTACAATATCACTACTGAGATATTGACGTTGACACAATCAAGATACAGAACATTTCCATATATATGAGAGTCCCTTATTTGCCTTTTTATGGCCACATCCATCTGTCTTCTGCCCCACTCCCTCCTTAATCCCTGGCAGCTACTAATATCTATATTTCCACAGTTTTTTCATTTGGAGAATATTATATAAATTGAATCAGACAGTATGTAACCTTTTGGGATTGGCTTTTTTCATTTCACATAATTCTCTGGAGATTAGGTTGTTGTGTGTATCAGTAGTTTGATCCTTTTTATTGCTGAGTAGTTTTCTGTGGTGTGGATAGCTTGTTTAACCACTCACCCTTTGAAGGACATGTGGGTTGTTTCTGGTTTTGGGCTGTTAAAACTAAAACTACTATGTTCCTTCATGTACAGGGTTTTATGTGAACATAAGTTTTTATTACTATAGGATAAATGCCCAGGGGCACAGTTTCCAGGTAGTTGTATATTTTCTCACCCTTTGAAGGACATGTGGGTTGTTTCTGGTTTTGGGCTGTTAAAACTAAAACTACTATATTCCTTCATGTACAGGGTTTTATGTGAACATAAGTTTTTATTACTATAGGATAAATGCCCAGGGGCACAGTTTCCAGGTAGTTGTATATTTTGTTTCTTAAGAAACTGCCTGGGCCGGCCCGGTGGCGCATTGCTACAGTGCGCCGCTTGGGAAGCGCGGCAGCACTCCCGCCGAGGGTTCGGATCCCACATACAGACCGGTTCCCGCTCACTGGCTGAGCGAGGTGCGGGTGCAACACCGAGGGTTGTGATCCCGTTGCCGGTCCCGGTCCGGTACGGGCGCGACACTGAGGGTTGCGATCCGTTGCCGGTCACGAAAAAAGACAAAAAGGAAAAAAAAAAAAAAAGAAACTGCCAAACTGTTTTCCAGAGTGACTGTATCATTTTATACTCTGACTAAGAACATATGAGTGATCCAGTTTCTCTGCATCCTCGGCAGCATTTGGTGTTGTCAGTGCTTTTATTTTACCCATTCTCTTAGATGTGTAGTAATATCTCATTGTGATTTTAATTTGAACATCCCTAATGGCTAATGGTGTTAAGTATTTTTTTCATGTGCTTATTTGCCATCTGTATATTCTCTTTAGTGAAAAGTTTCTTGTTTTTTTATCTATTTTCTAATTGGATTTTTTTTTTACTATTGAGTCTTGAAACTTCTTTAGATATTTCAGTTACAAATCCTTTGTTGAGTATATGATTTGCAAGTATTTTCTCCTAGTCTGTGGCTTGCTTTTTCATCTTCTTAGTAGGGTCTTTAGCAGAGAAAAAGTTTTTAATTTTAATGAAATCCAGTTGATCAGTGTTTCCTTTTATGGATTATGCTTTCAGTGTCAAATCTAAGAACTCTGCTACTCTAGACCCTGAAAATGTTCTTGCCCCCCCCAAATTTTTACAATTATAAACATTTTATATTTAAGTTTTGATCCATTTTGAGTTAATATTAAGTTAATAAACTAGATCGAGGTTTGTTTATTTACTGTGAATCTTCAGTTGCTCCAGTGCCGTTTGTTGAAAATGCAGTCTTTTTTTTTTTTTTTTTTTCCTTTTTGTCTTTTTTCGTGACCGGCAACGGATCGCAACCCTCAGTGTCGCACCCGTACCGGACCGGGACCGGCCACGGGATCGCAACCCTCGGTGCTGCTCCCGCCCCTCGCTCAGCCAGTGAGCGGCCGGTCTGTATGCGGGATCTGAACCCTCGGCGGGAGCGCCACCACGCTTCCCAAGCGGCGCACTGTAGCAGTGTGCCACCGGGCCGGCCCTGAAAATGCAGTCTTAATTCTACTGAATTGCTTTTGCACTTTTGTCAAAAATCAGTTGGGCATATTTGTGTAAGTCTATTCTGGGTTCTCTGTTGTTTTCTATTGACCAATGTGTCTACTCCACCAATACCACACAGTCTTGATTACTGGAGCTATGTAAAAAGTATTAAAATTGGGTAGAGTGATCCCTCCCACTTTATTTTTCCTTTTCAAAGTTGTTTTAGCTATTCCAGGTCCTCTTCTACTGTCTTCCAATATACAGTCTAGAATATTATTTAGTTTCCAAGTGTTTCGAGATTATCTGTTATCTTCTACTGATTGCTAGTTTGAGTCTGTTGTGGTCAGAGAACACCCTCTGTGTGGTTTTAGTTCTTTTAAATTTGTTGAGGTTTTTTGCCATAAGGTTCAGGATTTGGTCCTAGTATATGTTCTGTTGGCACTTGGAAAGGATGTGCATTCTTCTGTTGTTATGTAAAATGGTCTATAAATATCTGCTAGACCCTGTCGGTTGATGGTGATGTTTAGTTCTGCTGTATTCTTATTGATTGTGTTAGTCAGTTTTCTGTTGCTTATAACAGAATACCTGAAACTGGGTAATGTATAAAGAAAAGAGGTTTACTTATTACAGTTTTGGAGGCTTGGAAGTCTGCGGTCCGGGGGGGCACACCTTGTGAGGCCTTCTTCTTGGTGGGAACTCTCTGCAGAGCCCCCAGGCAACGCAGGTTATCATGTGTGAGAATGACAAGAGTGTATTTTACATATCACTTGCTCTCCTTATAAAGCCACCAGTCACTCCCTGATAACCCATTTTGATTTGTCTGTAGGGCCTTCTTCTTGGTGGGAACTCTCTGCAGAGCCCCCAGGCAACGCAGGTTATCATGTGTGACAATGACAAGAGTGTATTTTACATATCACTTGCTCTCCTTATAAAGCCACCAGTCACTCCCTGATAACCCATTTTGATTTGTCTATAGTGGAGACATCTCTCTAGTTTTTTTTTTTTTTTTCCTTTTTGTCTTTTTTTGTGTCCGGCAACGGATCGCAACCCTCAGTGGTGTCGCACCCGTACCGGACCGGGACCGGCAACGGGATCGCAACCCTCGGTGTTGCACCCACACCTCGCTCCGCCAGTGAGCGGGAACCGGTCTGTATGTGGGATACGAACCCTCGGCGGGAGCACTGCCGCACTCCCAAGCGGCGCACTGTAGCAGTGCGCCACCGGGCCAGCCCTGTCTATAGTGTTTTTGAGTGCATATCTCTCTATAGCTTTTCCAGTGGTTTCTGTAGCTACTAAATTATATATGCACAACTTATCACAGTCTGCTGGCATCATCATTTACCAACTTGAATATGGTTTAGACACACCTTACCTCCCTTTACCCTCAACTGTTTATGTTTTAAGTGTTTCATCTACATAGATTTTCAGCTCTGCCTTAAATCTTTCATCTGCATAGATATTTAGCCCTGCCTTCTTTCTCCTCCTCTTCTGGGACTCTGAAGGCATGAATGTTAGATCTTTTGTTATGATCCCACAGGTCCCTGAAGCTCTATTCATTTCTTCAGTCTATTTCTCTGTGTTCAGATTACATTTTTGCTCTGTATTCAAGTTCACTGGTTCTTTCCTCTGTCTTCATTGTGCTTTTGAACCTACCATTGTGCTTTTTATTTTGGTTATTAGATTTTCAGTTCTAAAATTTCCATTTAATTCTTAAATGTTCTATTTCTTTATTGAGATTCTCTGTTTATTTCCTTCAAGCATGTTCATAATTGCTTGTTAGATCATCAGTGGCTGCTTTAAAATCTTTGTATTTGTAAATAAATTAACATCTCTGCTGTGTTGATGTTAGCATCTTTTGATTTTTTTTCATTCAGTTGTGATCTTCCTGGTTCTTGGTATGACAAGTTATTTTCTATTGTGACTAGAACATCTTCGGTATTTTGCTGTAATCTTATGTTGTAATAGTCTGTATCTTATTTAAACTTTTCTGTTTTAGCTGGCTTCCTCTGACACTGCTCCTTCAGGGGAACGGGGTGCCACCTTCTTAGTGCCAGGTAGAGTGTATGTCCAGGTTCCCACTCAACATCTGTTGATACCCAGCTGGGGAGCTCTTCCTTCTGTTGGGCAATGGTGGGAGTTCCAGCTTTCTACTAGGCCTCCCTAGCTGGGAGCAGTGGGTGCCTTGTTACTGCCTCCTACTGGATCTTTACTGACATGGGGTGAGGAGAGGGTAGCTTGGACTTAGGGTGTGTTGGGAGGGACTCGTTACTGTCGAATGGTGATGAAAAATGCAGACTCTCCACTAGGACTTCTCTGACATCATCCCAAAGAGGGCAGGGAGCACCTTGTTATTGCAGGTGGTAGCTCAGGGTTTCCATGCAGTCTCTGCAGAGAGGTGTGTCATCATCCCCTCACCCCAGGAATGAGGTGCTGGCTCCCTATTCTGTTGGCCTCCTATGATACCACCTGGTGAGGAGGTTGTGACAGCCCAGTGAGGATGGAAGTCCAGGCTCCCCTCTCTGCCTTTGCAGGTGGGAGTGGTATCTGTAGTTTTTTTGTCTGGTATTCGTCTGGAGCAAGCAGAGCAGTTTCAGATAAAAGTTTTCTGTCTTGCTGGCCTGTCTCTTTCCCGGTTCTTCAGCTAGACCGGGCAGGTTTTTTATTGGGACTTCTATTGTGAGTTCCTTTTAGTGTTTCTGGGTTGCTGGCTTCTCCAGCACCCACTATGGGATAGATGAGGCAAAAAGAAAACCCAGAGAACTTGCCACCATGTCCTTCTTTGCTCTGAGCTTCCTAGCTGGTCTGCCACCTTCTCCCCCCACCCTTTCAGAGTTCTGTTATGTTTGATTTATATGTTAAGTGCAGGATTTTTACTCGTAATTAATGGGAGAAATAGGGAAAAGTACATCTACTCCATCTTACCAGAAGAGGAAGTCCCAAGTCTAACATTTAAAGAAAAAGTTCTAATATTGCTATTCTCCATTCTTAATAGAAATTCAGCAATAATGGGCCTCCTGCAAAGTCAAAAAAATTACACAAGCTGGTTGAGAATTCCTTGTCCATAAATAATCCAGCGCTCTTCGACTCTTTAGGACCCCCTCCTCTGTCAACAACTTGCCATCACTGTGGCCTGTTTGGTAAGCATATTGCTCTCAGGGGTCTAAGTTATTCCTCTATACATTTGAGACAATTTTTTATTATGGCAAATTTTAAACATATGAAGTGTAAACAGAATAGCATATACAAGTATGTGCCATATACCCATTGCTCAGCTTCAGCAGCTGTCAGCATCCTGCATTCTTCCTCCACACCTCTCTACTCTTCCTGCTTCCTCACTCAATAGGATTGTTATGATTGCTCCTTTCTTAACATGTATTCTAGGCTCTATTTTAGGAAAATGTCTTAATCTTGACAACAAATAGCTGGAATAAAACACTGGTGATGTTGCGGGTTGTGTTCTGTAGGATCGCACAGGTGTTCTCAGTGCAAGCAAGCATACTACTGCTCCACAGCATGTCAGAGAAGAGACTGGGCAGCACACAGCATCGTCTGCAAACCTGTGCAGCAGAAGTAAGTATTCACGATTTTTCCATTTGTTAGAGAACATTTAAAAAGTGTCTTCTGATGGCATAAGGATCCAATCACAAACGCAAGAAGTTGTTACTTTTTACTTATTTTTTAGGTATAATGGTTCAAATCTGAAGCAAGTAACTCTACAAACTTAGTTTTCATGAATGTGATCTTACTAGATAGTACATACTAAGATTTAGAACCTTAATGAGTGAGGGGGTTGTTTTTTTTCTTTTTTTTTTTTAATGATTAGAGCTTTCGAATGTCTTACTCTTAATGATGTATGCTTTCCTGAATTTTAATAGGTTGAAACTCTAATGCCTGTTGAGTTGTGATTTTAAAATACATAAATCTTACTTGCATGGCATTTACCAGTTTACAAAACACTTTTACTTATAACCTTATTTGATCTTCCAAACTCTGTATAAATAATGTAGAGATTATCTCCACTTTACAGAAGAAAACTGAGGCTTGGAGTTTGTGACTGTCTCCCTTTCATTAGGTGGCTTTGGGAAGCAGCAGCTTGTGCACACACAGGGTGGACCAGCATTGGGTTGTTTTAGCTTATTACTACTGTGATTCCCTCTGGAAGCAGTTTTGCTCTTTCCGGATTTTGTTCACTGAGAATTTAACATAACTGTGTTTTATGGCCCCTACCCTTAATTGCCTCTGTAGTATAAGTATTATAATCAGTTGCTTTATTTCAGTTTCCACAAACCTGAAGACAATAAATCACCTTTTGAAACAAAGAAAACAGAATTGAAAAACGAGGTAGGGTATACTTATTCTTTGTCTTTAAATTGTGAATGACTCCCCTTTATTGAATTGAGAGGACTTATGCTAAATAAAATATTTTGCACTTATTTTTACATTTCTCAGTGTTTGAGTTTCCACAAACCTGAAGACAATAAATCACCTTTTGAAACAAAGAAAACAGAATTGAAAAATGAGGTAGGGTATACTTATTCTTTGTCTTTAAATTGTGAATGACTCCCCTTTAATGAATTGAGAGGACTTATGCTAAATAAAATATTTTGCACTTATTTTTACATTTCTCAGTGTTTATTTAAAAAAATTTCCTCCCGAATAAATCTCTATACTGTAGTAATGGGATTTGGTGACTGTTGTGCATCTTTGAGACTTGTTTATCTCCAGTCTTTTCCAAAAAGGACTGGAGATGGCTGTGTCTCAGTGAAATCATTTAGACTATTTGGACAGTGCATTCTGTGTAGCCCCTGCATGCATAGGCTCTCTAGTCTTGTGCACTGTACTCTAATAGGGCCTCATTGTCTATCTAAGGAGCATTTATCCTGTTGATAGCTCTTTTCCATTTAGATAACTATACAGAATTATAACTATAACATACATTTAGATGTTTTTCATAATTTGAAAAACATCTATTGTATCTACCTCATATTTATAATTTTTAGCTTTCTCTAGCTGCTCCTAGCCTCTACTTGAAAAAAAAAAAGGAATTCCTCAAATATTTATTATTACAAAAACATTTACAAGTGCAAGTTTAAAAGACCATCTTCCATCCCCCAACTTTTTTTTTTTTTTTTTAAATAAACTCAACATTATCTTCAGCATCATGGCCTCATTCTGGGGTGATCCCCAGTGCTGTGTACAATGCTTGGGGACAGTGGGTTTCAGTGACTCTTGGAGGCCTTCGCTATTGCTGTGCTCTTTTTTTCAAGCCTAAGAGTCAGGCTGTTGTGGCTGCAAATTCCAGCAAATAGTAGCCACAGTATCACTGAAACATGTGCTTATAAGTAACTCACTTAGGTGTTTTTTCTTACTAGAGTGATTATCCATTTGGAGTTATTAAAGAAGTAGCCATTTGTGCTGAGAAAATAATGTTTTCTGATTTGAGAAGTCTACAAGTCATGAAAGCCATGGAAATAAAGGTATTTGTTTAATCTCCATAGAGATCCAAAGAACTATAGATTTTTTTTCCTTCATTGTCTGTTAATTTGAGTTCAGAAGGTAGCTATAAAATATATCTGATTAAATGAATAAAGATTACAAAAACTATCTACAACACTTTTTGTATCTTAGTTATAAAGCTTTGAGAAATTCACATTTGTCTGTGTTCCCAGTGAATTATTACATCTTATCTATCTTTTAAAGGGTACGGTTACTGAATTCAAACACCCAAGTGACTTTTACGTGCAGTTATATTCTTCAGAAGTTTTAGAATACATGAGCCAACTTTCTGCAAGCTTAAAAGAAACATATGCAAATATGGTGCATGAAGAAGATTATATTCCTGTTAAGGGGGAAGTTTGTGTTGCCAAGTACACTGTTGATCAGGTAACTCCTCATGAAATGAATTATTTAATAAAATGTTTTAACTTACTTTGGTTGTATCAGCTCGTCAGTACCAGAGCTTTTAATGATGCATCAGATGACGTAGGGCCAGACCTCGATCGTGCTCTAGTTTCTCTTCCTCAGTATTCTGTGCTTTGTCTAATTTACTTCCTCCCTGTCCCAACCCTCTCCACCTCTGTGTATTGTTCCTCAATTGCTGGTTACAGACTGATGGCTAGTCTTAGAGCTTGTGTTTATTTGTGTAGCTGAGGCACTAATGTGTAGTAGAGTCTACAGGGCTAGAATAGCTTTGGAATAGTTGTGCATGGTAAGATGTCCTGATTAGACAAGTTAGGGATTTCTTAGCAAGATTCTTATGAAATTAAGTTGACTTTTTAATTGTGTGCTTCATAACAGTAACGTTTCTTTTGCATGTTCTATAGATTGGTTGAGGGTTTTTTAACCTGAAATGGTGAAATGCTGTTTCGAAGTAAAGTACCATTATATTTTACTTTCAGACCTGGAACAGAGTAATAATACAAGACATTGATGTGTTGCAGAAGAAGGCACAAGTCTTATATATTGATTATGGAAATGAAGAAATAGTTCCAGTAAATAGAATTCACCCACTAAATAGAAAAATTGACTTGTTTCCTCCTTGTGTGAGTCTCTTACTTTCTGAATTTGTAATAGTGTTCCAAAGGAGCTGTTTTTAATATTTTGAATGGCTGTGTTTGCCTATGCTATTCTGTCATGTTATCGTACCTATTGCAGTATATCTTTTCCTGTGTTTATGAACACTCATTGGCTAACTTGGCACCATTTTTATTATGCCTTATATAATTAAGCACTGCCTCAGATGAGAAACTAACATTTTTAGGTGCATTNGTACAATGCTTGGGGACAGTGGGTTTCAGTGACTCTTGGAGGCCTTCGCTATTGCTGTGCTCTTTTTTTCAAGCCTAAGAGTCAGGCTGTTGTGGCTGCAAATTCCAGCAAATAGTAGCCACAGTATCACTGAAACATGTGCTTATAAGTAACTCACTTAGGTGTTTTTTCTTACTAGAGTGATTATCCATTTGGAGTTATTAAAGAAGTAGCCATTTGTGCTGAGAAAATAATGTTTTCTGATTTGAGAAGTCTACAAGTCATGAAAGCCATGGAAATAAAGGTATTTGTTTAATCTCCATAGAGATCCAAAGAACTATAGATTTTTTTTCCTTCATTGTCTGTTAATTTGAGTTCAGAAGGTAGCTATAAAATATATCTGATTAAATGAATAAAGATTACAAAAACTATCTACAACACTTTTTGTATCTTAGTTATAAAGCTTTGAGAAATTCACATTTGTCTGTGTTCCCAGTGAATTATTACATCTTATCTATCTTTTAAAGGGTACGGTTACTGAATTCAAACACCCAAGTGACTTTTACGTGCAGTTATATTCTTCAGAAGTTTTAGAATACATGAGCCAACTTTCTGCAAGCTTAAAAGAAACATATGCAAATATGGTGCATGAAGAAGATTATATTCCTGTTAAGGGGGAAGTTTGTGTTGCCAAGTACACTGTTGATCAGGTAACTCCTCATGAAATGAATTATTTAATAAAATGTTTTAACTTACTTTGGTTGTATCAGCTCGTCAGTACCAGAGCTTTTAATGATGCATCAGATGACGTAGGGCCAGACCTCGATCGTGCTCTAGTTTCTCTTCCTCAGTATTCTGTGCTTTGTCTAATTTACTTCCTCCCTGTCCCAACCCTCTCCACCTCTGTGTATTGTTCCTCAATTGCTGGTTACAGACTGATGGCTAGTCTTAGAGCTTGTGTTTATTTGTGTAGCTGAGGCACTAATGTGTAGTAGAGTCTACAGGGCTAGAATAGCTTTGGAATAGTTGTGCATGGTAAGATGTCCTGATTAGACAAGTTAGGGATTTCTTAGCAAGATTCTTATGAAATTAAGTTGACTTTTTAATTGTGTGCTTCATAACAGTAACGTTTCTTTTGCATGTTCTATAGATTGGTTGAGGGTTTTTTAACCTGAAATGGTGAAATGCTGTTTCGAAGTAAAGTACCATTATATTTTACTTTCAGACCTGGAACAGAGTAATAATACAAGACATTGATGTGTTGCAGAAGAAGGCACAAGTCTTATATATTGATTATGGAAATGAAGAAATAGTTCCAGTAAATAGAATTCACCCACTAAATAGAAAAATTGACTTGTTTCCTCCTTGTGTGAGTCTCTTACTTTCTGAATTTGTAATAGTGTTCCAAAGGAGCTGTTTTTAATATTTTGAATGGCAGTGTTTGCCTATGCTATTCTGTCATGTTATCGTACCTATTGTTCTCTTACTTTCTGAATTTGTAATAGTGTTCCAAAGGAGCTGTTTTTAATATTTTGAATGGCTGTGTTTGCCTATGCTATTCTGTCATGTTATCGTACCTATTGCAGTATATCTTTTCCTGTGTTTATGAACACTCATTGGCTAACTTGGCACCATTTTTATTATGCCTTATATAATTAAGCACTGCCTCAGATGAGAAACTAACATTTTTAGGTGCATTTTATCAATTTGCTCTCTAAAAACATCATTTCTTTACTTATTACATTTGGAAGTGGCCTGAATCTATATTTAATTGAGGGATAATTATTATCCTTTCATGAATTATTTCTCAAGCTTTGAGTACCAAAAGTAAGCACCGTTTGGTTAGCTCAGTTGGTTAGAGCACAGCCTTGTAACACCAAGATCAAGGGTTCAGAGCCCCATACCAGCCAGCTGCCAAAAAAAAAAAAAAAAAAGTAAGTATTATGAACAGAGTACCAAGAGACAAATAATAATTTTACCCAAAGTTGTTTATCTGGTTAGTACTCTTGAAAATTTTTGATACGTTTTTAGCGTAAAATACATTGTAAAAAATTTTTTTCAAATAATTAGAAAAAGTTATTTTTAAGCACTGATTTTTTTAAGTAACTTGCACAAAATCTTTCAGGCCATAAAGTGCTTTGTGGCTAATGTTATCCCAGCAGAAGGGAATTGGAGCAATGATTGTATCAAAACCATTAAATCACTGTTAATGCAGCAGTACTGCTCTGTAAAGATTGTCAGCATCTTAAAAGAGGAAGTGGTTACCTTTGCTGTAGATGTTATGCTGCCAAGTTCAGGTAAGAGCCGAGTTTATTTTTTTTCTTTTTCTTTTTCTTTTTAAATCTAGCACTTAATGCTATTTTGTCTACATTTGATACTTGGAGAAGAAATAGAATCATGAAGTAAGGCCAAGTAAACTCTTCTCTGGAGTCATACAGATTGTGACTGAAAACATGGCCTTTACCCTGTTCTTGCCATTGGCAGTTTATCAAAGATGTGGCAAAATTTATAGAATTAGGTTACTTTTAAAAGACTAGATTCAGACTTAGTATGAGGATAAGTATATTGTACTTTTAATATAGCCATCATAATATCTACTTCTGATTTTTACTCCTTTATTGAGAGAAATACTTGAATTTCTCTATAAATTCATTCATCTTATCAAAGCTTTTCCTTTGAGCAACCTTCACAGAACTGTATTTTGTTAGTACATAGTGTTTAAGTTGTGGAAACATTTTGGAATCCTGTTCTTCCATTCTGATTTCATATCTCTTTGAAAAGTGACTTGTTATAGTGTGTGTATAATTGCCTATCAGTTTCTAAGGTGTTACCTTTCTCTGGCTTCACGGGTGACTTGGTAGAAAATGCATTCTGCTGTGAAATTAGGTATAAAATCTATTTCTTTGCTATATATGTTTGATGTTATGATCTCAGCTTTTTGATATTATTTCAGGGAACATGGAGTTCACGTGAGTGCTGACTAACCCTTGTTTCAGCCGTACAGTCAGTCTGAGAAAAAGAAGTCTTTCGTAAAGTTATTTCTTCCCATAAATGGTGGTCATCCTAAGCATGCTTGTGAAGTGGTAACTGAATTGTTCGTGTAATTCAGAATTTTGAAGTGAAAGCTTTTCATTAAATTTTCTGTCAAGTGACTGTGGGAATTTTGCCTCAATTTTTAAAGCCAGGCATTCCTAAACTATTTTGCCCATTGAAATTGAACTGGTAAAACTCATGCCAGCATATTAGTGACTATAATCTCTCCGTCATGTGACTGACTTATTTGCTTGTTATTTATGCTTTTCCTGTAATGCATTGTATAGTGTCTCAATGGAGGTATATTTTTTTAATTACTTTTTAGGAAAATTCCTAGACTGTGTACTTGTAGAAATGGGGTATGGCTTGAAACTCATAGGACAAAATTCTAAGCAAAATGCAGATCAAAGTAAGTATACATATTAATATTGAACAGTGTAGGAACTGAAGTTAGTGAAGATTATTTTCTCTAGTAAACAAAAATAGGCACAACTATAGCACTGTTGAGACTTAATGGTAATGATAACCATTTTATGAACTTTATATAAGAAAGATGATATTTTTAATTTAGTAATATGGTATTTCTGATCTCAGTCTTCCCTGCCTGTTTTCCTTCTCTGTTTTCCAGATTAATCCTTGACATGATAATTACCAGGGATTATAAAGTATGAAATATTATGACACTTTAGGTTGAGGGCTTTAGTTCACATTTCTTTAGTTTAATTTGTATTTCTTTGTTACCTGTGTTTTCCGCCAGTAATAAATAGGGCTCTAAAATTCTGTTCTAGTAGGATGGTGTTTATTCTTAAGTATTTTACTTCTTCTTTACTTATGCGAGTGGTTTTTCATTTAGTTTAACAAGAGAGCCAAGAAATTTTGCTATCGGTATTTTATTTTCTCACTGACTTGTATGTGTTGTTTTTATTGTCTGTTTTCTCCTTTAGTTTGCTCCCATAGTATTTACTTTGGGTGTAAAGGTAATTCATTGTCTCTGCCTCACTCATCCAAAGGTGATGGCCAGATTAATGGTGCCACAAGTGGACTCATCCTCTCACACCAATGAACTTGATTCATCCTAAGTCTACCCCTCCCTGACTTCTCACCCCTTGTCCTGTCTGATTGGTTGCCAAGTCTCTCTTGATTCTTCTTCCCAAATAGCCTTGTATATATTTTTTTTCCTCTTTCTTTCTTGGTCATTTCCTTAGTTCAGGAATCGTCATT